CAGTCCCACTCCGTGCCTCACATCCTGCTGGGCTGGGAAATGCTGCGGGTGAATTTGAGGGAGCACAGGATCTTTGAGGCTTCAGCACATGGACTGATCCTCATCCTTCTCTTCCTGAACTCAGAGATGGGGCATTACTCAAGGACAGAGTTCTTAACTGGGTCCATGGGCATGGAAAAGACTCTGATGTTGGGAAAGATTGAGGGCAGGAGGAGAAGGGGACGACAGAGGATGAGAGGGTTGGATGGGGTCACCGACTCAATGGACATGAGTTTGAGCAAGCTCCGGGAGATGGTGAAAGACAGGGAGGCCTGGTATACTGCAGCAACAAATGGGCCCCCGGAGCATCGGTGGATAGCATGAATTCCAAGGGTCTTGTACTCAGATGGGAAAGGGTTTATTTCTCATCAGCCTTTACTGAAAGTTAGCATTGCCTTCAGTTATGAAGACAAGACGCCGTTGGCAGTAGCTGTGATTTGCCGTTAGTAGATGCCAGAGGGTGTCCTATCACAGAGCCGTTGTGATGGCTGTCTGGGAACCCGGGCTGCTGCCGGTGGTGCAGCGTCGCCAGACTCCCGCATCCTGTTTCATCTTAATAGAGAAACAAGTATAGTTCACTATGCTGTCTCGTTTGTAGAACTGCATTTCACTATGATCTATTCTCTTAGTGATTCTCTTCATCTTATTTAATGTATTAAAACATATGCTACAAGCTGATTCCAGAAACTTCCATCACCTCTCCTTGCTGGGGGGGATGGGCAGGGTGGAGGCCGGGTGTGCCTCGGGTCACCTCCTCTGTTTGTCTGGGGAGACTGACAAACCTGGGGGGGGCCTGCCTGCTGCTGGAGCCCCTCAGCCTGGGAGAGACAGGGGTGATCAGCCTGAAGGGCGCTGGCTCGCACTTTGGAAAGAGGGTGTGTGCAGGAGCAGGAGGGGCCTTGGCGGTGTAGGGGCGGTAGGGGCCGCCTGTGTCCGTGACGCGGCTCCATGGGAGCCCAAGCATCCTTGGGGTGACGGCCTCTGTTGTCCCTTCCCAGGGGACTGGGGGAGGAAGGTGGTCTTGGGGCTGAGTGTTGGGGAGCCATCTGGAAATGTGTGTAGTGCTGGGACCAGGGGCGAGGGGCCTGGCGGGGAGGGCGGTGCTGAGGGAAGCCTTGGGGGTCTCTGGTGGGCGGCACCTGTCCAGCTTCTTCCTCCTGCACTCTGCTTGTGTGCTTAGGTGCTCACTTGTTCCTGCCCTTTGCGACCCGGCGGACTGTCACCTGCTAGGCTGTTTCAGTCCATGGGATTCTCCAGACCAGAGCACTGGAGTGGGTAGCCGTTCATCTCTCCAGGGGCTCTTCCCGACCCAGGGATGGAACCGGGGTCTGCTGCCTTGCAGGCGGATTCTTTACCAGCGGAGCCACCAGGGAAGGCCTTCTTCCTGCTGGGGATGGACCACTGGCTGCCTTGGCCCTGCTTCCCAGATGAAACAGGCTGAACTCCAACAGTGCTGGGTTTGCCTGAGGGTCGGTGGGGTGGGGACCTGGGGGTTCAAGAAGTTCCACTTTGGGCTCTGGCCCCCGGCGTTCGGGGCGTGGGCTTAGAGCCCGGGGTCCCAGCGGCCCTCCTGTGGACTGGGGGCAGGACTGGGGTTCAGGGCGGGCCCTGTGGGGCCGGATGTCAGTGACGCACGGGGCGGGTGTGGCCTTGATGATCCTGGAGACGTCTGGGGTCAGAGGAGGGAACAGCCTGGCCTCCTTTGGGAGCCCGGAGCCTCCCTGCTTGGAGTTTCAGGGTCACGGCCCGGCCTGGCGTTTCTAACCTAGCTTGGCCTGGGCTCCACTTCAGAGGAGGGGAGCAGGGACCCGTCTTGTCAGCGAGCAGGTTTCTTGCTGGTGCTCCCCACGTGTGGGCGCTGCACGTGTTGGGAACCTGGGGGGCGGGCAGGGCCCTGGAGGCCCTGAAGGCCTGACCCCGCTGCCTTCTCCTGGGGTTCCTGCGGGGAGCCCTGGGTCCCATCCCCCGCTGCCCCCGGAAGTGCAGAGGCCCGAGCTGCCTGGGCGGCAGGACTTGTGCAGGGAAGGGCTTGCTCACCGCTCCTCCCTCTGACTCAAGTCGGAACAAGTAACCTGGCTCCCCTGGCCCAGCAGCCTGGGAGGGACGCAGGCGGGCCCCGGGAGGGCCAGCCGTCGGCCGTCAGCGCGGAGCCACCCTGGGTCAGAGCGTGGGGCGGCCGGGGACGCCCTGAGGCCACACGCGGGGCCCCTCGGCCCCCTGACCGGGACCAGGGGGCGCTTCCCTGACACCTGGACGGAAACCTGGACGCAGGTGAGGCGAGGCGGCTGGCCTTTGGGGTGAGGAGCCAGCCGGCCGGGAGCGGGCCGTGCTTGTGTCTGGGGCGCAGGGGGCGGGGGTGCTCATGGGCTGAGACAGGCCCCGATGCGCTGGTTCCTGGGCCTCGCTCCGTTCCTGCGGGGCAGGGGAGACAGGCCCAGGGCCGGGCTGTGGGCCACGTTTGTGTGGGAGAGGGTCCCCGTGGCTCTGCTGGAGGGAGAGTGAGCAGGGCGTCCCTTCCTCCGCCTGCACCCCTCCTGTCCTCTGCCCTCTCCTGGGGACACTGCTCACTGGGTGGACGGCTTAGGGCCCCGGCTGGGGTCGCCGCTGGGGCTGCAGGTCTGGAGCTCAGGGAAGGTTCCTGTGCGGAGAGGCAGGGATGGTCCCAAAACTGTCTTTCTCTGAAAGCCATGCGTCCCACCCTCGGGAGCCCGCAGGCCCTGGGGGGCCTCCACAGGCTTCTGTCTCAGCCTGGCGCTGGCGCAGAGGTTCACGTTCAGGGCGGGGAGTGGCCAGCACCTGGGGTGCTGTCCAGTGTTCCGTGGTGAGACGGGGGCCCCGGCGGGTGAGGTGAGATGAGCTCTCTAGATCCCAGCGGCGGCGGCAGGACCCAGGCTTGCATCCCAGGCTCCGAGGTCTATGCTGGAGTCCGGAGCCCCGAGTGCCTGCCCCTGACCTTGGACGGAGAGATGGAACCCCGAGGGGACTGTCTGGCCAGCCTATGCCCTTGGTCCCTACTAACCCCGCTCGCTCCCCACAGCAGGACGGGGCCTGAGAAGCCGACCGAGTTGTCGCCACTTCCCAGGGCACTCCTGAGTGGCTAGTAATTAATTAGTAAGTGTGACTAATTGATAGCTTCCCTCCCCTGGCCAGGCAGGCGTGCTTGCCCAGACCGCCTCGCTTCGTCGCTCAGGCTGGCTGAGCCCAGCGTCTGGGGAGGCTCAGGCTGGATGGGGGTTGGGGGAGCTGCCTGCCCTCTGTCTGCCTCCAGCTCCAGGAGGAAGGAGCATCTGGGAAGGATGGACCGGGCAGAGCTCGCTCACCCTGAGTGCCCTGGTCTGAGTTCCTCTCTGCAGCACCTCTGCGGAGGGCCCACATGATCCCACCGTGCATTCTCTAGGCCTCCGTGGAGGACTGGAACTCCGACCTGCAGGCACAAATTGTGTTCAGGGGTAGGCTTAGCTGACGCCCAAGGTGCGCTGCTGGGCCGTGCTCTGACACAGGTCTGCGCGCAGGGCAGCGGGGTGCTCCCCGGCCTGCCAGGCGGGGTCCCTCCCCTCTCCTGCCCTGCAGCCTCCGAGGCTGCCTCCTCTCCCCCCAGCTGACGAGCCCACCTCCCCCGCGCTGCAGCGTGCCCCGAGGAGAGGCAGGATAAGCTCCAGACAGAAACTCGGAAGGACTTTTGGACTGTTGCTCAACGGCTGACTCAGTGAGGAGGTGGCTGGCTCTCCTTCCAGGCCGCCTGCCGGGGCCCCACCCGCCCTCCCCACCCCCGCTGCAGCCAGCAGCCCCGGGCTCGGCCGGGGGGGACAGCGGCCGCCTGCAGGGGTGGCGTGGTCACTGGTGCCGGGGGGGACAGCGGCCGCCTGCAGGGGTGGCGTGGTCACTGGTGCCGGCGGGGACAGCGGCCGCCTGCAGGGGTGGCGTGGTCACTGGTGCCGGCGGATGCTCGCCCAGGAGCACTCCTGAGCTGCCTGTGTGCTCCCGGGCCGGGGAGGCAGGGCGGCCTCTGCCTTCCTGCGCCTGCGCTTCATGGCTTCTGCTCTGGTCACGCTCCGCTCACATGCACAGAGACACACAGACACCCACGTCCCCAGACACAGACACCCACGTCCCCAGACACAGACACACAGACACCCATGTCCCCAGACACAGACACACAGACACCCACGTCCCCAGACAGACACACAGACACCCATGTCCCCAGACACAGACACACACACACACAGACACACACATATCCACAGACACACAGACACCCACGTCCCCAGACACAGACACACACACACACAGACACACCCATGTCCCCAGACACAGACACACAGACACCCACGTCCCCAGACACAGACACACAGACACCCATGTCCCCAGACACAGACACACAGACACCCACCTCCCCAGACAGACACACAGACACCCACGTCCCCAGACACAGACACACACACACACATGTGTGCGCTGTGTCTCCTGGCTGGGGGCGTGATGCCCTGGACTCCTCCCCTCCGAGGGGTCTCCCAGGCATCGTGGGCAGCCCAGAGCTGGCAGGACGCTTCGGGCACCTGCCTCGGATGCACGGCCTGGTGCAGACCGAGCAGGGGGTCTGGCCGCGTGCCAGCGCCCTCCCCGGGGGCAGTGGGCATGGTGCGGCTCCTGGCACAGACAGTCCCCTGCCGATTTGTCGTCTCCCCCGCCACCCCCGGCCCCGTTTCATTCGCTCCTTTTGCTCTCCTTACGGTTTTTCTGCCCGGTGTCACGGTCCCCGGGGCCAGCCCTGCTGTTGCCCCCCGGCCTTCGAGGCTTCTCTGGGAGGGTAGCCGTGGCTGTCTAGGCTGGGCTGAGAGTCCACCCAGGGCCAGGTCACCCCAGCACCGAGGCTGCCCCACCCCCAGAGTCCCTCCCCCAGAGGCCGGGTCGCCACGCCGTAGCCCCACCCTGACACATCCGACTAATCAGCTCTGTCTGGAAGCTCAGGGCTTTACCTCTGTCGTCATTTTTTGTTGTTCTTTTAAAAGCTGGGGAAACTCCAGGCCACCTCCGTGTCCTGGCCTGGGCTGGGAAGGGTGTCGGTCCCTCCTCCTCACTCCCTCCTCCCAGAAGCCCACCATGGACAGCAAGGACGAGGTCAGCGACACGGACAGCGGCATCATCCTGCAGTCAGGTGAATGGGTCAGGCCCCCCAATCCCCGAGTCCTCCAGTCCCCAAGTCCACGAGTCCCGGGCTCTGGGCCCCGAGGGGCAGACACCAGAAGGGCTGGAAGGCTTTCCTTGCTGGGCGTCTGGCCGGGAGCATGGGTCCTGTTTGGGCAGGTATCTGTAGCACTCTCTCTCGGCTCCACGGTCCCTCAGAAGCTAGAAAATCTTATCTGGTTGGGGTGAGGGGCTAAGGCTCTGGTTGGTGCAAGCTGGTGGGCCCAGTGGGGACTGGTTTGGACGGAGGACCAGAGAGAAGAGGTGTGGGTGGTGTGTGTGTGCGTGACAGAGAGAGCAGGAAAAGCAGCAGGGAAAGCAGGCAGTGGCCGTGGGTGGAGGGTGGGATGGGAAGGGGTGAGTCCGGATCACAGCCCGCCCCGCCCCACACAAAGCTGGCAGGGCGGCCTGTCCTCCGAGCTGTCACAGGGCCGTAGGGCAGCAGGAGACTAGCCGGTTTGCGGCTGTGACATGGGGCCGTGGAAGCCGGCCCACAGTCTGGACAGGCGTGAGACTGCGAGCCCGCGTGTGTACCCCCAGCCGGGACTGGCTCCCCTGAGCACATGGCCCTGTCCCCAGCAGGCCCCGACAGCCCGGTGTCCCCCGCGAAGGAGCTGACCCACGCCGTGCGGAAGCAGCAGCGGGCCCTGGAGGAGCGGCTGGAGGCCTGCCTGGAGGAGCTGAGGAGGCTCTGCCTGCGGGAAGCGGTGAGGGCCGCGTGGCTGTGGGTGGGGCTGAGAGCCGGGGGGCCGGGGGGCAGACAGCACCGCACGGGGGAGGGTCTGCAGGGGCCACGCGGACGCAGGCGTCCTGGGCACCATAGCCTGGCCCATACAGGTGCCCGGCCGCGGGGAGCAGGAGGGACAGCCCTGGACGTGGGGCGGGCGGAGGTGGCCGGGGCCGGGCGGGCACGGCTCACGCACGTCTGCTGGGCAGGCTGCTGCTGCTCCGCCCAAGGCTGGGCGTGTGAGAGCTGCCTGGCCCGACCTTGTCCTGCCCCCCGCAGGAGTTGACGGGCATCCTGCCAGCGGAGTTCCCCCTCAAACCCGGGGAGAAGGCCCCCAAGGTCCGCCGCAGGATCGGAGCTGCTTATAAACTGGACGAGTGGTCCCTGCACAGGGAGGTGAGTCTGCCGGGTGCTGCCCGGGTCCCTGAGGGAGATGGCCCTGTCCCCAGGCCACCGTCCCGCCACTCAGGGCGCTTGGCTCCTGGTGGACAGGTCCCCTGCCCACGTGTTACCCACAGGGGCCTCAGGGAAGCCCTGCCTGGGCAGAACTGGAAGGGCCAGGGCCTCAAGGGAGGACACTGGGCCAGTCCCCCCAAGGGCCAAAGGGCAGCCGGCCTGGACGGGTGGGTTGCTCGGCTCCCCCTGCTGTCCTCCCCTTGCTCAGCTCAGGTGGAGGGCTGTGGGGGTGGATCCGGCCCTTGGGCCCCGCCCTGTGCGGTGAGGTTGCAGATCCCCTGGGCTCGTCGGCCCTTTCGGTGGGAAGGGAACGCGTCCACCTCGGCCCCGCCCCCGCGGGGCTCGGCTGGAGGCTGCTGGCTGGGTCCCGGCGCGGGCGGACCGGTCGGGGGCGCTGCCCGGGGTCGCTGACCGCGTCCTCCCCCAGGACCCGCTCAGCGGCCTGGAGCGCCAGCTGGCCCTCCAGCTGCAGATCGCCGAGGCGGCGCGGCGCCTGTGCCGCGAGGGGAACCTGGGCCGCCAGGTGCGCCGGCAGCGCCAGCACGCGGTGCGCCTGGAGGAGGAGAAGCTGCGGCAGCTGCAGCGGTGCCTGGGGGAGCGACGGGGAACCCCGCGCGGCGCGGCGTCCGGCCCAGGTGAGGCCCCGCCCCCGGGGGGACCGCCCTCCCGGGCCACGCCGCCGGACCCTCTGCAGCCCCCGACCCCTGAGCCGGCCCCACCCCCNGCCCGCCGAGCCCGAGCCCGAAGCCTTGGTCCCTGGGCGGGCCCCGCGGCGGTGCGGCAGGCAGACAGTCGTCTCCACACGGTCCTCCCTGCTGCTGCGCATCGCCTCTAATTCAGGGGGAAAGGGTGTGCTAGACACCTCGCAGGTCCCCGCAGCCAGGAGTAGGGGGCGAGCGAGGGGGACCTCCACGCGATGGCTGAGTCGGTAGAGCCAGGAGACAGGCAGCCGGCAGGGCTGGACAGCGACCCCTGGGCCCTTCCCTTCCCGACCGCACCCGGGACATGGCCTCCCAGCAGCTGACCGGGCACCGGAGCCCCGAGGGCCCACTGGGCCGGTGGGGAGCGGCCACATCCCATCCGTGTGTCTCAGCACCTCGTATCCCTTCCCGCCTCGCACCGTCCCAGGAGCCCTGACCACAGGCCTGTGGTGTGGGCGAGGGGGGGGGCCACCTTCGTGACGATGACGCTTGTCGGGAGTGCGGAGCAGGCCAGGACACGCCTGGGGCTTTGGCCAGCCGTCCCTGGGAGACGGCGGCAGGCATGTAGTCCAGGGGAAACAGCCACGGGGAAGGGACCAGCCCAGCGGTGCTTTCACCCTCCTGATCAGAGACACAGGCCTGCTCTCCACACGCAGTCCTGTCCCAACAAGGTGCTGAGGTCCTGGGTCTGCTGCCCTGAGGAGGCTGAGGTCCTGGGCTCCCGTGTCCTCTCTTGGGAGCCCAGGAGGGGGTGGCTGGACACAAGTCATTCCTGTGGCTCTGCCCAGCCGGGCTCGCCCTGAAACAAGGAAGTAGACAGGAGTTGATAATTAGTTAGTAGCTGAAAGGTGTTTTGAATTAAAGAGAAAAAAAAAGAGCAAACAGACTAACCAAAAAACTAACAGAAATCTACCCACCCTCGTGGTTATTCAGTTTGCAAGTGTAACTGTGCCAGGTGAGGAATTGGCCCTCTGCAGGTGCGGGGGTGCGGTCCCGTGCGGGACTGACTGCCCACGGGGAGCCTGGGAGAGCTGCCCCCGGCGCTGATCTAACGCAGCAGGTGCTTGGGACGCCTCTGTGGGTGGACAGCGCCCGCTTTTAGCGACACTAGTAGAATTTCTCGGGTGATGGAAACATTCCAGGCCCATGTGGGGCTGTAGGGCGCTTGGATTGTGCCTGTGTGGCTGAGGGACTAAATTTTCATTTCATTTAAAATAGCCACGTGCAGCTGTTGGCTGCGGGCTAGATGGTGGCGCTTTGAGGGCGCTCCGTGGGGGTGAATGCCCTCTGCCTGGGGTGTCCTGCTGCTGCTGCGGGGCCAGGGGCTCAGTGTGGCCAAGGCAGTGAGCAGCCCTCGGGAACCGCTTCAGGGGCCTCCGGGTCCCCCGCTGTGCTCTGTGCCGCTAAGTCCACGGAATTCCAATTATGAGGATTTGGGCTGACGGTGGGGGGATGGCTTTCTTCCCAGACCCTGTAGTCAAACCCAAAACACACGACTCTCACCCCACTGCACCCCTGGGCTGTGACAGGAGCAGTCCCACAGCGTCTCCAGCTGACATTGGTGAAACGGAAGTGTCTCGATTCCTCAGGTTTTTGTAAAAGATCAGAGAGGCTGGGAAGCAGGATTCAGGAGGAGGATGTCTCCCCAGGTGAACCCTAAAGCACAGAATGGTGTCAGCTGAGCTGGTCCAGCGGCATGGTTAACAACCTGCTCTGTCTGTGTGAAGGTTCTCATTCTTTTTTTTAAATGATGATATATTGATGGCATAATGTCCACAACAGTTTTTTCTTTTTTTTTGAAAAAAAAAAAAAGTTATTATTTATTTGGGCTTCCCTGGTGGTTCAGATGGTAAAGAATCTGCCTGCAATGCAGGAGACCTGGGTTTCATCCCTGGGTTGGGAAGATCCCCTGGAGAAGGGAAAGGCTAACCACTCCAGTATTCTGGCCTGGAGAATCCCATGGATGAGGGGCCTGGTGGGCTACAGTCCATTTTTAAAATGAATGATATATTACTGGCATAATGTCTGCAACAGTGTTTCTTTTTTAAAAAACGCACTATTTATTTGGCTGTGTTGGGTCTTCATCACAGCACACAGACCTCTGCCTAGTCACAGCCGGGAATCTTACTTTTCTGAACAGGGCTCAAACCTGAATCCCTGCATTGGAAGGTGGATTCTTAACCACTGGATCACCAGTCCCCCTGCTTCATTTAAACTGAGGAGCAAAGACTAACACACTTCTGTAGCGGTCCAGAGAGTAAATCTTTTAGGCTTGTGGGCCGTATCGTCTCGGTCACCACTGCTCAACTCCGCCCTCACATCTGAAAGCAGGCAGACGTTACGTAAAGAAACTTGTTGCTGAGTTTCAACGAAACTTTATAAAATAGCCAATTAACTGGGTTTGTCCTGTAGGCTTGCCATCAGCCAATCCTTGTTAGAATTTTCAGATGGCTGGAAACTAAATCTCGACGTTTCCTGAGTGAGGACCTCTGCATGAGAAGCTAGCTAACAGCAGGGCCCGTAAGTGGTGGTGGTGGTGAGCCAGACGGGTCAGACTGTCTGGGTGTGAATCTGACTCAGCCACCGAACGCCAGATCGACCTGAGCTGTTTTATCAGCTCATCCAAGCCTCCGTGGCCTCAGCTATTACACGGAGACGGAGATGTAATCTCACAGGGTACAAAGCGCTGAGTAGAGCCCAAGAGAAATATTATTTGCCCTCATCCTTGTTCTCAGACGCGGTTGAAAACGCTTTTGAGTTCTGTCCGGGTCATGTCAGGTACAGACCCAGGGTCTGAAGTTTCAATTTGCTCAAAGTGAAAGTGTTAGTCGCTCGGTCATGTCTGACCCTTTGCAGTCCCATGCACTGTAGCCCACAAGGCTCCTCTGTCCGTGGGATTCTCCAGGCAAGAATGCTGGAGTGGGTTGCCATGCCCTTCTCCAGGGGATCTTCCGACTCAGGGGATGAACCCAGGTTTCCTGTTTGGCAGGTGGGTTCTTTACCATCCGATCCACCAGGGAAGTTTGTTCAGGGGCAGCAGCAAATTCACGTCCTCTGACTCCTGGGTCCCCGGGCTGTGCCCATACAGAAGTGCTCCCTCTGTGAGTTCCGGAGGCTGCCCCCAGTTCAGCCGGCCAGACCGCCCTCGAATTGTCCCAGGACCCCACAGTCCCACTTCCCACTCACACTGCTCTGTGGGTCTCAGGTTTGGGGTCCTTGAGTTGCCTTGTACTTGTGGTAGCAGAAGACTACAGCAGATGAGTGGAACCGCTACAGCAGAGTCCAGAATGACCGTGTCTGCCTTTGCCCTCCGCAGCCTGGAAAGCCTGGCAGTGCAGGGAGGGTCTGGGTCTGGGGAAAGGAGGCCCAGGGCGCTGACAGGATCCTTTGAGGCCACAAAGCTAGTGACAGGGCCTGCATTAAAGGCAGATTTCCCGTCTCCTCACGCCGATCTTCAGACTCTTTTCTCCTTCCCAGTAATGAAGTCGCACCCGGCCGGCGTTGAGCGCTGGTCTGGTCGGTGTTTCCTGATAAGGAGTGCCCCCAGGAGTGGAGGGGCGGGCGGGGCTGCCCGCAGTGCAGGGGGCGCTCCTCACCCGCTCCTCTCCCCTTTGGCCACCCCAGAGCTCAGCGCCTCGGATGACAGCTCCCTGTCGGACGGGCTGCCCCGGGAGGAAGGTGAGAGGGGCTTCGGGACTCTGGTCAGCTGGGCTCCTGCGTGAATGTACTGGCAAGTTCCCTTAGTGAGCTGGGGGGCGAGGGGTGCGGGGCGGCCAGAGTCTGCTCCACGGGGTCGCTGAGTCCCACGTGCACCCGCACACGTCTGCTGACCACGGGGACAGCCGGCCCATCACCGGAGCCGGCGCTCAGTCACGCGGGTGGGAAGGTGAGCCCCACAGAGCCTTGGGCACCGGGCCCCTGCTGCGGCCTGAGGCTCAAGTCTTCACTTCAATGTGCACCATTCACAGCTTCAGCCGCTGTTCTTTGTGGAAACTGGGCAGCACCAAGGGAAGAAGCATAGTTCATAGACTGAGCACCCTGCCTACAAACCCTGATGATGCTGGGGGGCGGGGGTCCTGGTGGACCAAGAGGGTGGTGCAGTCCTGCCCAGGGGAGGGCCCCGCCCGGTCAAGAAGACACACAAACACAGGCACGGTGTGACAGTGAAAATAGGGAGACAGGAGGTCAGCTGCAGACATGACACCAGGGGCAAAGGATAGAAGGTGAGTCCTGTGAGCCAGGAGAGTCAACCTGGGGAGGCTTCCTGGAGGAGGCAGCTGTACTGTGGAGCCATGAGGGAGTGCGTCCCAAAGGGGAAGAAAGTGTTTCGGAGCATCTGGGCCCAGAGCCATGGCCTGGCACAGCCGGACAAGCAGCCATGGGAGCGAGAGCAGGGAACAGGCTGTGGAGGTTCTAGTTGGGCCGGTTCCCCCACTGCTGCCCTCACCAGGTTTCTTTCACCTGCAGAGGCACCTCAAGTGCCAAAACCTCCCCTGGAGGCCCCAGATCCACCCTCCCGGCCTCTCCCGCCCCAGAGCCTCGAGGGGCTGCAGCCAGCAGGCCCTGAGACGGGGAGCCTGGAGCGGGCCCCCATCCAGAACAGCCCCTGGAAGGAGACGAGTCTGGACCACCCCTACGAGAAACCCAGGAAGTCTTCCGAGGCCGGAAGCGAGTCCAGGTGAGGCAGGAGGAAGGGAGGGCTATGGCTGGCACTGTGTGAGAGGCTTCCCGCCCCCACCCCCCCAACCTTGTGATGCTGCGGGGCTGGCACCCCTGGGTGGAGACATTCCCGATGCTGACCCGTGTCCAATTCCTCCACTTCCAGCAGCCCGGCCAGCACCCCGCAGGATGGGCCGAGCGCCTCCAGCCTGTGGCTACTGGAGCCCGCCTCCTACTGCGTGGTCCCCATCCACAGTGTTCCTGGGCAGCGGCAGGGCCGTACCAGTGCCCCGGCCACCCCTGACATGCAGGGCAGGAGGGGCCATCCGCAGCCCCTGAGGTAAGAGCCAGGCCCCCCAGCCATCCTGGGAGCCTGGAGGGCGGTGGCTCCCAGGGCTCTGTGGGACACCCGTGGGCCACACCGGGCTTGTGTAGTGGCTTTTCCTTGAGACTCTTTCTCAAGCACCTCTCAGCGGAGGCTGCGCCCCGATGGGCAAAGCGAAGGGCGAGTCACTTACGAAGCAACTTGTTTTCTCCCAGAGACTCTGGTGTTGTCTCTTTGCATGACCTCCCCATCCAGAAGACCGCCTTGTTGGGGGAGGATAGTGTCTTGGTAGGGACTTTTGCAGTGGTCTGTGACTGTTTGGTATTGGTCCCTGATGATGGACAGGTCACGTTTTCGCTTGATGTCTAGTTGATTCTCACTCCTTGGGTACTTATGTTCTGTGAAGTCGCCACAAACCCCTGCTCCCTGAGACACACAGGGTCACAGCTGCTGGCCTGTCAACGGATCGACCCGTAAACTTATTTTATAGAGTTTCTGTTGAAAGACACCTTATCTAATATATAGCACTGACTGAACTCGGGGCCAGCAGCCAGAGAACTCACACCCGCACGGAGCTCATCTAACCTGTGTTTTCTCCGTAAATCATGCCCCAGCTTTCTCATGCTCCGGACACCCAACAGCCCTGCAGCATCAGCTTCAGGGCTGTCTTAATCAGTGAAATCACCTACAGAGGCATAAAAACACAAAAGCATGACGTTAAATAGACTGTGGAAAGGGCCTCTGTGTGCAGGGTGAGAGCTGCGGTCTCAGCTGGGAGAGCCTGTCGGGCAGCTCAGAATCTTCACCACCCTGTGTGTGTCCACACGTGACAGAGTATGGGAGTGTTGATTTGGAAGTTACAAATCCATTCAAGCAGCAGGTGAACCCGCAGATACAGAACCCATGAACAACGAGCACCCACTGGGCCCTCCTTTCTGAGACCTCTGTGCTCTGGGGCTGGTTTCAGCCATCACCACTTGATCAGTGATGACGCCAGGGATGACGGGCAGTGCTGGCCACACCCTCCCAGGGGTCCAGGGTGGCCTCAGGACATGGCTGCGTTCTCATGTCAGGTTAACTGCCCATGGGCAGCACTGAAGTCCAGCAATGCATCTTATAGTGTACATACCCCCGCCTTTAACACACAGGGCCTGTATGCAGATCAGTGAAAGGAACCCTCTGGATGGGCAGGCCTGCTCACTCCCGAGGGTCTGGCAGGGGGACAGTGGATTCTGGATGGGCTGGCTGTCCTGGGCTGGTGTCCCAGGGAGGGCCAACTGCATGCAGCCACCCTGTCCCAGCTGACTGGGGCTGCCATACAGAGCCCCTCGCCTGGAAAGAAGCCACTGTCTCCCAGTCTGGAGGCAGAGGTCCTGGCCCCAGGTGTCCCGTGGTGGTTTCTCCCTTGGCCTCAGCCCTGGGCTCTCTGCCCTCCCTCGGTGCCACGGGCCAGTTTCAGGCCTTCATCTCAGATGCTTGCGGGTGTCCACCTGGACAGATCATGTGGACAAAATGCCACTGGACCGCTTGCACCTGAGATGGCTGAGATCAGGAGGCAACTGTGGCCTTCTCGCCCCAAATCCGGGCTGGCCAGGCAGTGGAGCGGGAGCGGGTGGGGTGCAGGAGGGGCGTGTAGGACTTTAGGTGGGCCGGGCGATGCCTCCGTCCCTAGACCCCCGGAGGCACGGCTGGCTCAGTGTCCCCCTTCTCCCTGCAGGAGCGACCCCTTCCGCGCAGGCCCCGACGGCCGGGGTCGTAGCGCCCTCCCGCGGCGCCGCCCCACTTACTACACGGTGACGGCACCGGAGCCCTGCTGTGCCCGCCCCGCACCCGCGCCGCACGCCACCTGCCACTCGTGCTCCGAGGACAGCGGCTCCGAAGCGTCCAGCCTGTCGCACCCCACGCCGCCCGGCAGCAGCAGCCCCGACGCGGGCCGCGGGCTCAGCAAGGCCGCCGTGTCCGAGGAGCTCAAGTCGTGGCACGAGCGGGCCCGGCTCCGGAGCGCGCGCCCCCACTCGCTGGACCGCCAGGGGGCGTTCCGCGTGCGCAGCCTGCCGCCCGGTGCCGACAACTTCGTGCGCGCGCCCGCCCCGCGCGGACAGGTAACGCTCCCTGGCCCGGCTCTCCGGGTCCTGCGGTCCCGGCTGGCCCAGCGCAGAGCCCAGAGCCGGCAATCCGGGGGCCCGGCAGCCCTCAGCTAGGAAGAACAGCCCCCAGACGTTTCCTTGCGGCTCTGGGAAGCCCTTGGAAGACTCGCCTGGGGGCCTCCAGAGTTTGCCTGCTCAAGAGCACATGCCCACGTGCGCCAGTGGAGGTGACCCTCCCAGACACCTAAAACATCTCCCCCTAATGGCTCCACCGAGGATCAACCAGACAGGCCTCTATTCATAATCCGAAGTCCAATCCAATCACCCCCAGATTTCCTGACTTGAGGTCCCAGGACAAAGAGTCTGGAAAGGGTTTGCAGGAGGCGAACCTGTGGCCACCCATCAGCTCCTCCCCACCCCGACACCCTTCCATCACCCAGCTGAGAAGCAAGCTGACTCGTGGTTAAGTGCCCAGGCCCTGGTACAAGTCAGCCTTGCCCCTTAGCAGTCAGGATGGGGCAGGTTAGTCAGCACTCCCATCATCTGTCACCCCCTCTGTAAAGGGAGCAGCAAAGGACCCGTCCCCTAGGGGCAGTACTCCATGTGAAATGATCAGAGCCCTGTATGGTAAGCCCTGGATGAGAGGTGCTACTGTCACCCAGGCGCCTGAGGCCAGGGATGGGGTCGGTGGGCAGCTTGTAGGTGGAGCATCCCAACATGAGATAGGGTGGCCGCCCTGGTTTCTGTGCCCAGTTTCTTCCTTCTGCAAGAGGGGCATTATGCAGGAGCCTTCCTTTGTTCTTGCCCCCTGGTACAGAGGGCCATGCTCCTGAAGTCACGACAGGCTGCTTCCTGAGACCCGAGGTTCCAGCAGGTCCCGCGGCGCCTCCCTCCCCGCCCCCAGTTCTCTGGGCTGCAGCTGGCCTCCCGGGCCTGGCAGCGCCCTGGCTCCAGTCCCAGCCGCACCCTCCAGCTGAAATGAAGTGCCTTCCCCTTCCCACGAGCTGGGACCTGTCCTTGGCCCAGGCCCAGCCAAGCCCAATGTGCCAGATGGGAGGGTGATGAGAACTGAGCCCAGGATACAGGGGCAGAGCAAAGGTCAAGGTGCCCGTCACACCCTGAAAAGAACTGGGGCGGAACTGGATAGGGCCATCTCTGGGCCCAGAGAGCCTCCGGGGAGGCAGGGGCTGGGTGGCTGGGCCGGTGCTGCCTCCGGTCAGCAGCCTCCAGGGACGAGGATGGGGTGGCCAGGCATGCTGTCCCGAAACCTCTACTTGGTCTGCTCACCCGCCTCTCCTTTCCTCCTGGCCTGGCAGGTGCCCACGGTGTGCGTGCTCCGGAGATCACCTGAGGGGGTCCCCGTGCAAGTTTTTGTACCTGAGAATGGCGAGATCATGAGCCAGGTGTAACCCCGGGCTGCAGACGCCCCCCGGCTGGCTGAAGAAACTGTTTCCCAGCGGGGCTGGGGCCGTGACCGCCCCCTCTCCTCGCCCTCTTCAGCTCCCTTCCCCCATCGCAGGTCGATGACCTGGAGCTGAAACTTTTTTTTTATCAGTTTTCGTTCAAAAGCCCTGGCCTGAGGATTTATGTTTGTGGTTTGTCTGCACCATCCCTGTGATATAAGGATGCTTTATTCCCCAGAGACTGGCCTACTGGATGTGAGGCCTTGCCTCTGGCTGGTGGCATCTCTCCATGTGCCAGGTGGGTGGCAGGGGATGCCTGGAGCAGAGAGGGCCACGGAGAGTCCCCCCAGCACTCTGGAGAACAGCCCTCCTCCCCCACTACCGCTGGGGCGGCACCCCTCTACCCAGTTGCCAGCACCCCGGCTGTCAGGTGCAGGGCTGGTCGCATCCTGGCCTCTCTGTGCTCTGTGATGCACGCGCGAGGGCGGGGTTAAAGGTCAGTGTGTCCCGGTGGAGTCTTGTCTTCCCAGGCCCTGGTTACTGTGCACCTGTGTCCTGAGGCCCCCAGCACTGACCCAGGCCCAGGAGCCTCGGGTCCGAAGCCTCTCTGATTGGGAGCATCAGGAGGCCCAGGCTGGGGCTGGCTACCTCCTCTGGGCCCCGTGAAGACTTGCAGGCCCCTGCCCCTTGACGTCTTTTTGTTGTAGTCCCAAGAGCCAACACGGCACACGTGCTTTAAGAAAGATGCCCCTTTTGGCATGTCCCCGGGGCAGGAGTGTTACTGCTTCTCCCCACCCATGTGCCTCTGTCCTGAGACCAGATCTTCTTGAAGGAGGGCAAGTCCTGGCTTTACAGACATGGGACACTCACCCTGCAGGTGTCACTGAACTGTCCTAGCACTGAGACTTGAGGCCTGGCAGCTGGCTGTGCCAAGCTGATCTGTGGTCCCGGGATCTTGTCCTAGTAGGGTCTCTGCTACCTGGTCAGAACCGCAAATGGGGACCCTGCTTGCAGGAGAGAGCCGCTGAGTCAAGGCCAGGAGGGGCGGGGCGCACTAGGCTGACTCTGCCCATGTGGCGTCCTCCGTCTGCAGGGTGGAAGTGGGGGAATTAGGCCCCGAGAACATCCTGACCTGGATGAGACCCACTTCTCCCACTGCCTGGGCCATCTGGCTGAGGGGTCAGGAGGAGGGAGGGGGCCTGCGGGGAAGCCTGCATCCCTGCCCTTCCTGGTCTGGGGCCACCTGGGCACAGTCACCCACCCCCTGGTCCTCGTGGAATACAGCACTCCTTGGGTTAGCACTCCACATACCTGCGCGCCCCGCATGTTAACTTATTGCTCCCATGTGATGCCCGGGGCACCTGAGAAGCAGCTGTGTCCTCGGCTGTGTGGCTGGAGCTGTGGGGTTCTGTGCCAGATACTCCAATAAACTCTGTGCTTTGTGAGGCTGAGCTGGTGAGGAAGGTTCTTATGCGCCGAGTTTCCAGCTGGTGGTCTGGCCAGGGCCCTGGGCAGCAGGTGGGTGGGAAGTGTCCCGGGCAGGACGGGAGGAGGAGTCAAAGCTCCTGGGTCCCCCCCCAGGTGCCCCACCAGGGCCCAAGAAACTGGCCTCTGAGGGTCCTTCCTGGGAAGGATGGGGCCGTGGCAGCCCCTGGTGTCCCAAGGCGGTGGTGGGCGTGGTTTGGCGGTGGGCGGTGCTCAGTGGTGGGCGTGGTTTGGTGATGGGAGTGGCTTGTAATGGGTGGGGTTCAGTGATGGGCGGTGCTTAGCGATAGACGTGACTCGATGGTGGGCGTGGTTTGGCGGTGGGCGGTGCTCAGTGGTGGGCGTGGCTTGGTGATGGGCTCCTCCACAGCCCCGAGTAGTGGCTCTTGTGCGTAACAACCCAGCGCCTGTCCCCAAAGCCGGAAGTGGGGGATCCTTCAGGCCGGGAGGACGGCTCTGCCACGTGACCCTGGGGCGAGGGGAGCCAGGTCCACGCCCGCCCTGCAGGGGCCGCTCTGGAGCCAGCGCGGCGCCCCCTGGAGGCACAATCCCAGAACCGGGTGGGCCCAAAGCTGAGGCGCTTCGTCAGGTGAGGGCTCCCTTCACCGCCCTCACAGCATCCCCCGGGCAGACCGGGCAGGTGCCCCGGGCCCGAGGCCCCCCACGCTGGGGCGGGCTCCGAGGGGATACGGCCAGCATCTCTGGACCCCCAACCTCAGACCTGGCCTCCTTCGGCCGGGCTCAGTCACATGCTGTGGCTGCTGTGAGGAGTGAGGCCCGGGGAAACCGTGACCGGTGTCAGGAACCCCAGCGTGCGAGCCGAGGTGGGTGCGCCCCGGCAGAGGGAGCGCCGGAGTCCGGAGACACAGGCCCCCGGGTCTCCCCTGGGACGGAGGCAGGGGGCGCCCCGGCTGGGGGACCCGGCCTCCAGGGCAGGTGGCGGTTCCCTCCTGCTCCATGGGCAGGACCTGGGCAGACCTCGGGGCACTCAGTCCCCCAGCCGCAGGGCAGACGCGGACTGTGAATCGGGCCAGGGGTCCGGGGCTTCGGGATTTCAGCAGCAGGGCCTCCAGGAGGCAGAGGGCCTGGAGGCCGCCTCCAAATGAAACGTCCCCACTCAGGGAGAGCCCTGAATGAAGATTTGTAAGCAGGTCTGGGGCAGGGGGTGGGAGGCAGGGCCCTTCAGACGGTCCCCATCTTCCCAGGGTGGGGTGAGGGGGGCCAGGGTGGACCCAAGCTGGCACCGCTCAGGCACTTGAATCTTTTCTGGAAGCCTGACCTGGCTGCTGCCCAGGCGAGCCGATGGACTCCCCTCCTGACCATCGTCGAAAATTAAACAAAGTCACCTTTTTGGGACTGCCTGACCGCGTCTCTGGGAGCCCTCACTTGGCGGGTGAGTTACCCTGGGACCCGGCCAAGTCTCATCTTCCAATGCCTCAGACGTGATGGTACTGGATGGCCCAGCCCTCGCTGGGCACTTGTGGATGGATGCAAGTGTGCCCACTCCTGGCTGCCTGGTAGCTCAGAGCTCTGGTCTCTGCACGACGGTCCCTTTTCAGACCTGCCTCCCCGAGGGACCTGGAGCTGGACGGGGACCAGGATGTCGCCTGGGGCTCTCCACTGTTCGGGAGAGCCAGGGCAGACCTCTAGACCACCAGTGTGCCAGCAAGCCCCCGACCCCAGCCCTGACCTCCAGACTCTTCAATCCAGCCCCAGCAACATCCCCTGGTTGGTGCCTCGTCAGCTTCTCAAGGGTTTCCCTGGTGGCTCAGACAGTAAAGAACCTGCCTGCAATGCAGGAGACTGGGGTTTGATCCCTGGGTTGGGAAGATCCTCTTGAGAAGGGAATGGCAACCCAGTTCAGTATTCTTGCCTAGAGAATCCCATGGACGGGGGAGCCTGGTGAGCTACAGTCCTTGGGGTCGCAAACAGTCAGACACAACTGAACAACTAGCACACACACATGTATCTCAGATCCAGCACATCCCAGCTGCACTGCCAGCCCCAGACCTGCCCCACCTTGCTGGCACAAGTCCTCAGGCCCCAAGTCGGTCTGCACGTCTGTCTTTCTCTCACTTACACCCAGCGCACTGCTCTCCCTCTGGGGCCTACCTTCAACACAGTTGCAGAATCTGACCACTTACTCCTACCATCCTGGGTCCAGCCCCCGTTTCCTCTCCCCTGGATTATTACCATGTGACCTGGCCACCTCTACCCGCTTCCCCTTCCCCCACCACCCTGCATCTCTCTAGTCTGAACCCAACAGCCAGAGTAATTCTGTCTTACCTGAAACCTACCTAGGGCTCTGTCCTACACAGAGCAAAAGCCAGAATCTGCACAACTGTCCTTGCAGCAGCTTCAGAAGGCCCTCCTGACCAGACTCCTGACCGCTCTGCCTTCCTCACTGGCCACTCCCCCTGCAGTCCCAATCCAGGCTCTGGGTTTGTGGGTTGTTTCAGCTGCCACCAGGCATGGTCCTGCCCCAGGGCCTTTGCACCGACTGCTCTTTTGGCCTGGAAAATTATTTCCCCAGATATCTGTTGGGCTAGCTCCCCATGGCCTTCAAGGCCACTCAGGCTTCTCTGACCTGCTGTGAATGTATATATGCTGCTGCTGCTAAGTCGCTTCAGTCGTGTCTGATTCTGTGCGACCCCGTAGATGGCAGCCTACCAGACTCCACCGTCCCTGGGATTCTCCAGGCAAGAACACTGGAGTGGGTTGCCATTTCCTTCTCCAGAATGTATATATGTACATACACACATCTGTACAAGCAGGCCCAGCGGTGACCCCATTGAAAGGGCGTGTGACAGTTTCCTGTGAAGGGACCCGTGTGTGTGTGTATGTGTGCTGTGTCTGTGAGCTCTGCATGTGATGCACCTTTCCCACAGAAAGTGCTTGATATATGTGGGCAGAAGAAGGCACTCACTGATTTCCTGCTGTGGGCCAGGGGTCATTCTACATTTTTTACATGAATGAATGAATTTAAACCTCATTAACAGTGACAGACCCTGTGATTACCAGTCCTGCGTTAAAGGACAATTTAATTTGCTCAAGATTATGCCTTCATGTATCGTTGTTGTTCAGTTGCTCAGTTGTGTCCGACTCTTTGCGACCCCACGGATTGTAGCACGCCAGGCCTCCCTGTCCTTCACCAACTCCCGGAGTTTGCTCAAACTCATGTCCATTGAGTCAGTGATGCCATCCAACCATCTCATCCTCTGTTGTCCCCTTCTCCTCCTGCCTTCAGTTTTTCCCAGCATCAGGGTCTTTTCCAATGAATCAGCTCTTTGCATCAGGTGGCCAGGGTACTGGAGATTTCACTTCAGCATCAGTCCTTCCAATGAATATTCAGTGCTGATTTCCTTTAGGATAAACTGGTTTGATCTCCTTGCAGTCCAAGGGACTCTCAAGAGTCTTCTTCCTGTATAATTATCAAGCATTAATTATTTATTACTATAATTATTTGTTATTTATCTTTATCATGCATTCATTCATTTAATTCTCACAATAATAATAGGGGCGGTCATCCTCCCTATTGTATAGACAAGGAAACCAGAGCTGAGAGACTTTAACTTGGAAAGGTTGTGGGGCTTGTTAAGCGGAAGAGCTGGCCTGGAACTCAGGCATTTGAACTTCAGCTGCAGTGCTCCGGCTCTGACCCCATCATGCCCCAGGGCACTCCACACAGGGTAGTGAGGAAGGCCTGGTGACCAGGGATGCCACCCCTCCTTCCTCTTGCTTCACCTGCTCCCGACACCCTGGGTGGACAGGTGCTATTCTTAGCCTCACCCCCAGCCTCTGTCTACACCTGGGTTCCTGCTCCACAGGGTTACACCAGCTCAGTCATCCAGGGAGGTGCGTAGGCCCATTTGGGGTTTCAAATTCCCTCCCATTCAAGGGTTTCAGAGCCCACCCAGGACAGCGTCAGCACCTGCGGCTCCTGGGGTGACAGAGGACTCTGTCTCCATCTCCCGTCTCTCCTGGCCGTGCCTGATGCAGAAGGTCTCTTGACTGAGTCCCCCACGCAGTTCCCTTTCCATGAAGGCTTCTATGGTCCCCCTTTGGCCCCAGGCCTGGAGAAGCTGCTTCTTGGAGCCTGGGCAGTCACCTGGGACCCCAACAGCTTCTGAGCCCTCTTGAAAGAGGGTGGAGGGTGGGGGGTTCAGCTTTCCTGTTCCACCCAGAGAATCAGCCAGACTTCTCCCAACTACGTCCCCTTGCAGGACTGCGCCAGTCGGAAAGAGAAGCCTATGAGTGCATCCTGGAATTTCTAGAAGAAGAGCAGATGGTAAGGCAATTCCCTGGAGCTTTCTGAGAGCTGAGGAGGAAAGTAGGTAAAAACAAGGGCTTGGGCTTGGCGCTAGTGGTAAGGAACCCACCTGCCAGTGCAGGAGACCTGGGAGACCGGGGTTCAGTCCATGGGTCGGGAAGATCCCCTGGAGAAGGAAATGGCCACCCGCTCCAGTATTCTTACCTGGAGAATCCCCATGGACAGAGGAGCCTGGCGGGCTGCATACAGTCCATGGGGTCGCAGTGAGTTGGACATGACTGAGCACGCACATACAGGCTTCCTTCGGTCTGAATGCCAGCCCTGGCTCGGAAGCTGCCTGACATGGCCTGTTAGGTGGCCAGGCCAGTGACAGAAGTGGAACTGTGGGCCCCCAACCGCCCCCGCCCCCCGGTTTGGTCCCTGGAGAGCTACAGAGGGGTCAGGACACTGGCGGCCAGTGCTGGGCGTGGGGTGTGTGGAGGAAACGCTTCGGAGGTCAGGGATCTGGGCCCTGCGCGGGGCAGGGGAGGTAGGGGGGCTGCAGGCAGAGGGGGGGCTGCAGGCAGAGGCTGGGCTGCGGGCACTGTTGTATGTCCCTCTGTCCTAGCTCGAGATGGACAAGCTGAAGTTCCTGAGCGCAGTGGACACCTTGAGTGGCGCTGTCCACACCCAGGCAAATGGCAACATGGACGATTT